GAGAGTGTGACTTGCCCAAGGTTTCGTGGCTGAGTCCAACACTCAAACCGATATGCTACGTTGGGTCACTTATGGCGACACTTAGGCGGGTGAACCTATCATGCAGTTTATTTAGTAAGTTTTCTCAGAGGGTTTTTTGCCATGGCCTTCCTCTGAGGCTGTGAGAGTGTGATATGCCCAGTGGCACCCAGTGGGTTTTTATGGCTGAATCAGGATTCGAACCCTGGTCTCCAGAGTTGTAGTCCAACGCTCAAACCACTACACCATGCTGGCTTTCCATTTCTGACTTATCACAACCTCTATCATGGAGTTTTCATGGCAAGATTTTTTCAGGGGAGGTTTGCCATTGCCTTTCCCTGAGGCTGAGAGAGTGTGACTTGCCCAAGGTCACCCAGGAAAGATGCAGGAATCGAACCCTGGTCCCCAGAGTCCTCGTCCAACGCTCAAACCTTGTATCAAACATTGATCAGAATGGTGACTGCTGCCAAGAAATCTCAGGAAGACTGAGGCTGCATCTGCACTGCAGAAATAATCCGCTTTCACACCACATTAACGGCCATAGCTCAATGCTCTGGAATTCTGGGAACTGTAGAGTAGATTATTTTTTACTAGCTAAAAAATTATCTTTATTTAGGTCATGTACATATCAACAAGCCAAAGTTCATGCTGAATGGATCTTTCCTAAATTCTATTTAAAAGTTGTTCTTTAATTTAATTTAGAGTGTTCCTTTTCCCCAGCCATGAGTTAATATTAAAGAAAGCTACATCAGTGTGAGTGAGTGTTGGACTAGGACTCTGGAGACCAGGGTTCGAATCCCCATTCAGCCATGAAACCCACTGGGTAACCTTGGGTGAGTCACACACTCTCAGCCGCAGGGGAAAGCAACGACGATCCTCTTCTGAACAACTTTTGCCATGAACACTCCATGATAGGGTTGCCATAAATCAGAAATGGAGATCCAGTGTGGTGTGGTGGTTTGAGTGTTAGACTACAACAGGTTCGAATCCTGGCTCAGCCATCAAAACCCACTGGGTAACCTTGGGTAAGTCACACTCTCTCAGCCCTCTGAAGAAACCTGCCAAGGAAACACCATGATAGAGTCACCATAAGTCGGAAACGAGGGCACACAACAACAATTTTGACAAGTATTGAAGAGCATGTAGAAGCCACTCCGTGTGTTTTCAGAGGCAGTTGCCACTGCCTTCCTCTGAGGCTGAGAGAGTGTGACGTGCGCTAGGTCACCCACTGGGTTTCCATAACTGAGCGGGGATTTAAACCTCAAGGCTCAGAAATAGAATGTATGTCGTAAAAATAGTAAATATGTTATAAAAATACTCCCTCTGAGTAAATCTAAGGTTCCTTTCTCCATTATAACATAAACAACTAGCGCAATTAAAATTATACTTTCAAATTACAATATCATATGCACGGCCTAAATGTATAGTTGGCCCTCCACATTTGCGGCTTTGACTTCTGTGGATTTGATTATTAGTGATTTTGATTCATATGTTCTCTCTAGGAATCTCTAGGTCCTCCGGCGCAACTCTGCTGGAAATTGACCATAGAGTTGTGCTGGAGAACCTAGAAATTCCTAGAGAAGACACTTATCTAAGCATTTGTAGGTCCTCCGGCATGATTCAATGATCAACCTCTAGCAGATATTGACTATAGAGTTGCCCTGGAGGACCTGGAGATTACTAGTGCAAAGTACGGTAAAAAGAATAGTGGGTTTTTATTTGCGGTTTTCTCACATTCACGGGGGTCCTTCACCCCTAGGCCTAGTGAATGTAGAAGGACCACTCTATGGTCCCTCCATTTTACTTTTGCGGATTTGATTATTTGTGGATTTGATTCATATCTTCTCTCTAGGAATCTCTGGGTCCTCCAGCGCAATTCTTCCAGAAATTGACCATAGAGTTGTACCAGAGGACCTAGAGATTTCTAAAGACAGTTGTAGATCCTCCAGCATGGTTCTGTGGTCAACTTCTGGCAGATGTTGACCATAGAGTTGCGCTGGAGGATCTGGAAATTCCCAGAAAGGTGTTCATACAAGTTAAAAAAAAGTACAGTTGCCTCTCTGTTTTCGCGGGGAATCCGTTCGGACCC